CGTGACCCCGTCTTTTATATTTTACCAAAAAATTGGGTAATAATAATTGTTTCCTAACAATGTAAAAACACTTTTTTTTTCAAAATGTTCAGTAAATTTTCTGAAATCTACAAAAAAATAAAAACCCCAGTGGCTCGGACCAGATCTGCATGAGTTTCTGCACATGCAGTGCAGTGCGTTCTGCCGCATTCCGAGCCGTTTTAAACAAGATGAATAAAAAATATTTTTTTGGGCCTAAAATTGGCTTAAATGACCTGGCCAGGAAGGGGGTCTAAACACCTGGTTTTCAAGTGGTTAATATATATCCATCCATTGCTCAACAAACCATGGGCACAAAGTCCAGCTTTTTTCTTGCAATAGGTATCCCTGCAGGCTGTCTGCAAACATTTGAAGCAGTGGTTTATCACCATTTTATGAAATAACAAAATGTGTTTGCGGCAGCATTATCTGCCCTTGTGCTGGTCACAGATGTCCATGCCAGGGAGAATGTACTAGTGTTTGGTCAGAGCTTGAGGCTTCAGTTGTTCTGAGTAAGCTCAGCAATTGTTTAAACAGCACATCCAATAATTAAGAGGAGTCCATTACATAGGTAAAGGCGAAAAGCACACATCTTTTCGTAGACAGGATTACATGTACTGAACTTTAATTTCACATTTCAATTTGGTATTTAACTGATCATATATTGGTCATGGATAGCCTATCGGTGACAGAGCTGCTTTGACAGCCTTTGTGTTTATAGCTAGATAACGTTGGCATAGGCAAATCTGTCATTAGAGTCCCAGGTCATGGAGAAAACAACTGAGTTAAGGACAAATTTGCTACTTGACATTAGAAAATAACATAAAACACCACAGTGATAACATCTGAAAAACTTGTCTGTCCAGAACACCTGGTGACAAACATTCTTGAAACTGGCAAGTATAATCTCTTCCCGAAACTGTACTTTGACTGATCTTAGAATCACACAGATGATACCGCTCATTAGTATTAATTTAAGTACTTCATTTAGTAGCTGTAGAATGTTTGCTCAGAAAAAGCACAATTAGAAGGCTAAATTCACATTTTTGTGGTGCGATAGCATACATTGCGTTAGGCTGCCCATTAACATTAAGCAAGCTTGTCAATTAACTACAATACATGTAAAAACAGACTGCCTTGTGGTGTGCTATAACGCAGGTGTGTTACCTTGTGATATACAGTGTATGTATAATATATATATATATATACACATATATATACACATATACATACACACACACACACATATATATTTTATTTATATACACATTTTTATTTTTTTAAGAAAATACTTCCTCAACTCCAAGCTTTAGACCATACATTAAGATGGCATTTACAGCAGCATTAATGAGGTTTACTGCAAAACCAGTTATAACCTGTGGCCACATTATATTCTGGAATAGAAGATAAAAGCAACCTTTGAAGTATATATCCTGAAAAGGTAGTAATTAAAAGCAGAACTATAGGCAGATTTGAAAACCCACAGTAAATCCAGTTATGAATTAAATAATCCTTAAATATTATAAAAATAGCACTTTCATTCGTAACTTCCTATATTGGCATCCTGCAATCTATTGCACAATAGGACTCAAACAGGGAGAAGAGGGGCACAGAGGAAGGAGCATGAGGTAAACCATTCAGGTTCTAGTGTAGCGCATTGTGTTATCAGTCTAACAAAGAGACCTTGCTCCTAGGAGGGGACCTCATCAGTGTGCTGCTATCATTTTACTATCCAGTCACAGGCTGGGGTCAATCTTTCACAAGGCTACACTGCGTATGAGAACAGTGAGATTTGCGTTCTGGCCATGCTATCTGGCATGACTAAGTTTCTTTTAAGAGTGAGTGAACAGATCAGGGTAAACAGGATGCCCCCTCCATTCTGTGTTATTTGGTAAGTCTCAGAACAATATGGGGATATGTGGACGGAGAGAAAAAATACTGAGGCCCCATTCACACATAGCGATAGTGGTTTCAATGCGGAACTAAACCGCGCAAACGGTACCTGGAACGCGTGGAATCCACCCATAAAGTCGTGCTTGGACTGTTTTGCAGGTCGCACGTTTTCATAACGTGCTCATTGGAATACATAGGATGCATTCTTGATGCGTTCTGTAACTGCTCTGCATCTGCTCCGTGCTTGGTGTGAACAAGCCCTGAAAGTGTACCCCCAGTCTAAACTTTTTTTAGTGTTGGTCAGATTAGGGGAGAAGTTAAAACCCCCACCAGAATCTTATTTATTGCCATCTGCCTTGTGTGCAACTCAGGAGATTTCCTTTTACTTTCTATCCCAGAGACGACACAAGTAGCGAGATTAAAAACCCTCAGAGAAAGCGTTTATCAGAACAGATGAACCCATTGGAAGATTTTCCCTCACCACATTTGGTTTTCCCATCACTTTCAGTCCCAGTGACTAGGGTCACTGGGACTGAAAGTCACTATGGACTATGGTCACCCAGGCAAATAGACGTCATTCTTACAGAGGTGCTAACCCTTCCCTACCCCCATCTAAAGCTAGAAGACGTACAATTAAACTGCATATTATGCAAATTTGATTTGGTCCCAAAAACAATAAATAAAAAGAACCTTATCCTATACAATTCTATAGACTATTACTTCTGAGTAAATGTCACTTTTTAAATGACAAGCCTTCAAGGTAAAATACTTGGTAAAAGCACGGTGAGATAGTCATGTTACCCTGGGAAGTTGTTGTCTGCTCACTTATGGAGATGGGGTGCTTTACTAAAGGGAAACCCTAACCAAGTTGTTGTCAACGGAAGAGGGACAATATGTGCACCGGGTTACTTTCCTGCATATGAAAAGTGGAAAAGAGAACATGCTTATGTGCTACTACTTAATATCCAACTTGGAAACATTTTGCTTTTACATATTGTTATGAATGTTTTTGTGCATGAAAACACGTAAAATGGCTCTGTAGGGTTATAATAATTTGGCAGTCGTATAAGAAAAGAAAACAATCTAACAGTTCTACAAGCTGGCAAATAGAGTTTTAGGGCAAAATGGGCTAACAGTTTGCAAAGAATAGTCGAAACTGTATACAATCTAATGAAAATAAGGGCCTTCATATCCCAATTGTGTTTCAGCAAACTGCAGCTAATTTCTTTTTTTTTTTTAAATAACAATTAAAAACTATTTTTCTATTATAAACAATTAT